CCTTTCCTCCTTTCTGAGTCTCTTTCATATTTCATTTTCTCTGATTGCCCTTCCCTTTTTCTCCTATCCCCATTTTCTCTAAAATGTACATATATTCACATAGCACCTTAAATCCTATTACACCCAATCTGAGAGAGGCCTTTTTATATGTATGATTGATGCAGACACAAGGTCCATTATCTGATTTTTCTTATTTTTAATGTCAATATTACTATTTTTGATAATGTGGCCTAAATTGTTATGACACATGTCAATTTCAATAAGTATATTATTTTTTCAAATAGTTGCACATAAATTCCATGGCCCTGCCTTTTAACACGATAAATTCATGTCCCTTCCCACTGTCCCCCGCTTTCTTTTTTAAGATACCTTTTAAAACTTGTTCAGTTCTTTGTCTTGACAGGAGCCATATGCTAACAAAGGATGGAACAGAAAAACGGAAGTTCTTTCACCGGGTTTATCCTGCTAGGTTTCTCTGACAGGCCTCAACTGGAGCTAGTCCTCTTTGTGGTTCTTCTGGTTTTCTACACCTTCACTTTGCTGGGAAACTCAACCATCATTGCATTGTCCCATGTGGACCCACAACTTCACACCCCTATGTACTTTTTCCTCTCCAACCTAAGCTTTCTGGACCTGTGTTACACTACTAGCATTGTTCCCCAGTTCCTGGTTAATCTCAGTGGAGCAGACAAGTCTATCTCCTTCGGTGGGTGTGTAGTTCAGCTGTTCATGTCTCTGGGGTTGGGATGTACAGAGTGCATTCTGTTAGCAGTAATGGCATTTGACCGCTATGCAGCTGTTTGTAGGCCCCTTCACTACACAGTGATTATGCACCCTCGTCTCTGTGCCTTGATGGCTTCTGCTTCATGGCTCGTTGGTTTTGTCAACTCCTTATTGCAGACAGTGCTCATCTTCCTTTTACCACTTTGTGGCAGAAATAAATTAGACCACTTCTTGTGTGAGGTCCCTCCTTTGCTCAATCTTGCCTGTGTTGACACTACTGTGAATGAGTCTGAGCTCTTCTTTGTCAGTGTCATCATTCTTTTCATACCTGTGGCATTAATCATATTCTCCTATGTTCAGATTGCCAGGGCAATCTTAAGAATAAAGTCTGCTGTAGGGCAGAGAAAAGCATTTGGGACATGTGGATCCCACCTGACCGTGGTCTCCCTGTTCTATGGCACAGCCATCTATGCTTATGCCCAGCCCAGGAACAACTACTCCCAGGATCAGGGCAAGGTCATAGCTCTCTTCTACACCATCGTTTCCCCCATAATCAATCCCCTGATATACACACTGCGGAACAAGGATGTGAAGGCAGCAATGAAGAAGGTGCTGTGGAAGGACTGTGACTCCAGATGATGGGAGGTGGAAGACAGTTTAATGGAAGGACTTTGAATGCCTGAGGTCTTAAGATGTATATGTGTGTCCCCCATGTATCATCCAAAATTTTTTCTGACAGCTATTTTGGGAATTTCCTTACTTCGTTGTCTTACAAAAATGAGTGTTCAAAATCTAAGTTAATGGAGTCATTCCAACTTCTAGAGATGCTCATTCAGTATTTCTACAGCATCTTTATTTTATTATTATTTTAAAAAACTCCACAGTTTTCTCTTATTTTCACTGCTATTTGAGAATATTATTCTATTTCTACTTCCAAAAAGACATGTGAGTCCATAACATGAAGGCCCAGCCAAAATAATTCTGTGATTCGACAGGAACACTGTTAGGAATACTAACATATTATCATTTTCTAACAATTGCTAGGGGGATATCATTGATTTGTGCATTTGATCATGGTGCTGTTACAAGGTACATGAGTTGACCGTATCAGTTTTTTTCATAGAAATAGGTTGCAAACTGTAGGAAAATAAACTTTAAAGAAAAAGTTGCTACATTAATTCTAATAAAGCCATTCAGATATTAAGGCCAACTG